AACACCTTTGGGTGTGAAAGATAAAGTGCTGAAATGTCGGGTGCCGGTACTCGTCTCGCACGCCTTGTCTTCCCGTCCCGCCTAGACCTTTTACGGTGTTGGTGGGAGAGTTGACAATATCGTGATTTTACCCGTGGTGGTGGTGATAGTGTAGGCCGATCACTGCGGTGTCTGTACTTTGTACCGGCGACCTTTGCGTACCGTGTCATACTTTTCGTCGTTCACGGTATATAGATTTTCTATTATTTATATTAGAAAATTTGGATGTACTACATGAAGATAGCTCCATGCGTATTATTTTATTAGGCCGTAAATTTAAATCCTCGCACGCTTTTCTTTTGCACTCACTTCTAACTTCCATCAAATTTAAATTTTCAATAGTACTCGGTTCATGGTTATGGATATCTTTAATCTTGATTAGTGTTAATTTTGAACAATTTGTTTTTACATACGTACTACGATCATTTTTAATGCAATGCCAACTAATACTTCCCGAAACCAAATTTCTACTAAAGTGGAATTTAAAGTTACGAAAAATTAAACACTCACGATTTTTAGTAGTAATTACTAATTATTATATTAAATTCCATTTTTAAACACTTGAAACTCACGTATAATACTCTAGTAAGATATTTGTAGTTTGTGTAAGATTGCACAACGCATACATAGAGAGAAGTAAGAGTCGTCATGAAGTCCAATTATGATAAAATGGACCGATATTCGATAATATCGATAAGAGTGTAACGTAAAAATTAAAAATGGTTAAAACGGAAAAAGTAATATGTACAAAACTTTTAACTTTATAAGGTAATAAGTAGTATTGTTTGTATTCCAGAATACAGTTTGGCAACGTCGCACAGATTTAACACCTTTTCATTAAAAATATTTCGGGCGCAAGTGGGTTATAAATGGGTAATAAATGGAATAGGTACGGCGATGTCTAGTTGTAAAGGACTACCTAAAGAAGCCATAAAGGTAAAATTACAAAAAGGTGAAATGATATGCAAAACAAGGTCCTTTGGTATGTATCAAATGGAGAGATACAAGAGACGTGTTGATGTTATCAACATTTCATTCCGCAAATATGAAACAAGTCTTAATTAGATCTAAAACTGGTGAACATTTAAAGTTTAAACTTAATGCTATTATTGACGACAATATAAATAAAACAGGTATTGATCACGGAGATCAAATGGTTTCATATTATCCATTTCAGAGGAAAAGTTTAAAATGGTAGAAAAAAATATTCTTAAATTTATTTATTTGTAATATTTGTGAATAGTTACATATTGAAGAACAGAGTGAATCAACACAAAAAAATTACATTAAGGACATTTATAATTAATTTGGGCTTACAGATGGCAAAAAAGTAGTTATAATCAAATAAACTCTAATTTACGGTTACGAATCGGCTAACAGGACGACATTTTATTGCACGTATACCATTAACAGCATCAAAACAAAATCCTAGAAGAGTCTGTAAAGTTTGTGCAGATAAAATAAAATATATAAGTTGCAAAATAAGAAGCAAAGATACTTCGATTTATTACAAACAGTGAGATACACCATTATGTATTGACGACTTTTAAAAAATATCATATCTACGATAAATAATTATTGGTTGTAATTATTGTAAATTAAAAATTATCATTAGCATTTAAATATTTTATTATTTTTATAATATACTACCCGTGTATAATGAGTATTACGATTATTTTTTATGTTTAAGTTTTTTTCGTTAATAACTAAATAATATTTACTATAAATAAAGTAAAATGTTATTTTTGAGGTTTTATATTAAAACAAAAATTGTTTTTTGGACTTTTTTTTTGTAATTTTTGATTGTATTTTAACCGGTTAGAAAAATATAATGTATTCAAGTTATGGAAATAACTTCTTTTTAACAAAAACTACAGCAATTTTACTGTATTACAGTGAAAAAAATCATGAAAATTGATTAAACGCGGCAAAACCATAATAATTGTACAAAAAGTGGCAAAAACTGCTCGTCTCCGAGAGGAAAAAAAAGAACGAAAATGTTCCGTTTTCTTTATATATAGTTGTATTACGTGCCTCGCACGTGATTCGTCTCGAATGTGTTTTAAAAATGGAGGCTTTATTAGTGGATTTATTTTATCGCTATGTTTCAAGGTTAGGTTATATTAATTTAATACGATAGTATTTCGATATTAATATATTATTTTTTACAGAAAGTGTGATGAATAAATTCTATATGAGTAAGTAATATGATTATAAATATACGATAAACCAGGGGACGAAAATGTAATTCTATGGTGTTCCAAAAAATTTGAAAAAAAAAATGTTATGGTTCAGTAAAATTTGATTATTAGTTAATAATCGTTGTGTTATCATAACTAGTTTTGTAAACAGCGATAAACGATGAACACCGTCATAATCTCCAAATACATCATAAAAAAAATCAAGTATAAATTGTGTTCATAAAAACAGCGTTAAAAAAAAATGTTTTTTTTTACAGTATAGTTATGTTCCCTCTACTAGTCAAATATGGTACATCCACATTTTTATATAGCCGTCTTGCCGTAGTATCGATATAGCTGGTTTGAAATAACTGTTTAATCATTAAAACTCATTTGTTTATCAATTCAATAAAAATTCAAAAGAGTATGTGTCAGTGTGTGTGGTGATCGTATTTTGGACTAAATAGACTAGGTAAATCTGCTGTACCTGGAGTTTCTGTATATGCAGCTATCCTACTCCTATATTCCTTCTGCAACAAAAGATCTAAGGCTTGGCCATGATTGTGTTCTTACATCTTGAAAATGCAATTGTGTAGACCCGTATGACTCTAATACCTCGAACCCAAGGATTTCCAGTTATAACAAACAAAAACGCGTATATAGCTTTGATTTATAGCTATAAAATTTGTTAGCCCATTGAAGTATCAAAGAATGTTTAAGCAGATAAACGATATGTTAAGTGTATATTTTTTGGACGCAGTTCTTAATTCGGTCGGCCATTAGCCGCAAGCGTGAGTCCGCGACATTGCTAACGGTCCGATGACGGTTCACAAATTTTCCTAGCTCGCTCTCTTCTCTTCCGCACGGCGAATGAGCAACGTTGAACAAAAATGTCGCGGTTGGAAAGCCGTGTTTTTTGATATGTTTTATGCCGCGTTTTTGTCGTCATTGCGTTGGAAGCAACATAATTATATTTTGTCACCTTCGTAGGATGCCGCTGGCTTTCAAACAACGTGTCTTTTTGTAGTGTACGAGTAAAGGCACATCAAATCGCCTTTTCGGACTCGTCCCAGGTCAGACGTATCATACCATTATTCAGTATGTAATATTTGTGAACACTGAGGACTGTAATATAAGCGTCGGGTACTGTATATATTATATCACCATATTGTCTTATTATTTATATTGTTATTGATTATGTCATATAATATCATGATCATATTGTGATTAATGATTAAATTGTTTTATTTTTTATATTGATTATTAATTAGGACTAACGTAGTTTTACATTGTTATAAAAAAGAAATATTTTAAAAGTTTCAAATTGCTTGTTATTGCGAACGTTGATTTCAGTAATATCAAAATTTCTAACTAAAAAATATTATTCAAATTTTAGAAAGTTTCAATAAATCAATAAGTAAGTGATTTTGTGTATATTTATGTTGAAATGTTAGTATAATCAATATATTTACCAACGATGGATTAAGTTATTTATACTTCTTTGTTTGATTTGAAAACTATAACGTTGATTTATTCATTAGTTCTTGATAGATTGCTTTTATCATTAAAAGTTAAAGTTATTTTTTTCTTGATGGATTTGCAATTTTTTATTATAAATTAGTAACGTGGTATATTCGTAAATCCAGTTAAATAAAAAAAAAAAAAAAAATAGATAATTTTCTTAAACGTAAACAAGAATAAATTATACTAGAACCTTTTTTTTTATTTTACGTTATTAAAATATAAAAGAACCTGAGACAATTTAACTAATGTCATTAATATTACAAAATTTTTATTTTAAAAATGTTTTTTGTATTTAGAAGCCAAAGACATAGGTGAGTGTTAAAATACTTAATTATAGTCATTAAAGCTCGAAGTAAATATCTTAAAAAAAAAAAAAATAAATATTATGTATTAATGTTTATAAAAAAATAATATTACTTTTATTTACAGTTAATATTTATGTTACTGTGAAAGACCGCAATTGGTGAATGCTGACAGTCACCGGTTAATGTCAACATACACTAAATTCATTGGTGAATGTCGACTTATTGATTAAATTTGTGACCTTAGTAAACATACACTAGTGAATGTCGACATTTATACAACGGTATTGGTGAATGTTGGTAATGCCGATATTATTTAATCTAATTTAGGAATAACGGAAGGGTTGCAATTATAAAACAGGTATTATACAAATTGATAATTTTGATAAAATGTTTTGTTACATACTATCTAGTACCTATGCATAAAGTATTGTACAAGTTAATAATTTCGATAAAGTGTTTTATTGCCTTACCCAACTACTTTTATTATATCTAGATAACCTCCATGCTATCCTGTCTTGCTATAATTTAGTGTGGTATTGTCATTCAACGTACCTAGTTAGTTGTATATTTTTATTTTTATTTACGATTTTTTTTTTAAAAATGGAAAACATGCGCGAATTATTTTATAATAAATTTAATGATTTAATATCTAAAAAAAGAAATGATAATTCTTTTTTTCTATCAGCTGAAAAATATAAATTTTTAATTAGTGAAGTGAACATTTCAAAAGATAAAGCTAATAAACAACGTAATGACTATCGACGATTAAAGCGGTATGATGTTTTGAATATACTCGGAAGTAATAAACTTATAGTTCCTTTAAAACCAGGAGAAACAAATATAAAATATTATGTTAAAAATGAAGAATTATTTGACATTATTCAACAAATACACATTCAAACTGGTCACGGTGGACGTACTCGGATGATTAAAGAATTGCAATGTAAGTACAAAAATATTACATATGAAATTGTTATGCTGTATTTGAGTTTGTGCATTCAATGTCAAACAAAACAAAAAGCGCCTAGAAAAGGTATTGTTGTGAAGCCTATAATAAGTTCGGAGTTGAATTCCCGATGCCAAATAGATCTTGTTGATATGCAAACATGTAAAGATGGAGAATACAAATTTATTTTAAATTATCAAGATCATTTGACAAAATTTATACAACTACGGCCGTTAAAATCTAAAACTGCGGAAGAGGTTGCCCATAATTTGTTACATATATTTTTAACTTTCGGGGCACCAAATATTTTGCATTCTGATAACGGTAGGGAATTTGTGAATAAAATAATCACAGAATTGTGTTTAATGTGGGATGGTGTAAAAATAGTACACGGCAAACCACGCCATAGCCAAACACAAGGTTCAATAGAGAGAGCTAATCAAGATATTCAAAACCTATTAAGAGCACGGATGTACGAAAATAATACGAATAGATGGGCGGATGGTCTATATTTTGTTCAATTTACAAAAAATACAGCATACCATGAAGGTATAAAGCAAAGTCCGTATGAAGCTATGTTTGGCACAAAAGCCAAAATGGGTCTGTTTTCGTCTTCTCTTCCTCGAGACAAATTACATGAACTTGAATCGGAAGAGCATTTGGAAAACATAATAAAAAATATGAGTACGTACCTTTAATAATTATATTCAGTTGATGAAATTGAAATAAATAATAATAAATACTTGAAAATGATTAACAGATTCTGAAAACATTGATCGA